GGAGCTGGATGTTTGGAGCTGGGAACATCATCCCTGAGCTGGGAGCTGGATGTTTGGAGCTGGGAACATCATCCCTGAGCTGGGAGCGCCCTCCCATAACTGATCAGCCTGCGGGTATTTTTGCGCATTTGAATAACGCAAACAAGCCAAGCTGCGGCTCCTCCGCGGAGGCTTTACCGTGAGAAGGGCTCTGAGGAGAAGGAGCACCACAGGACTGATGGGTTTATGTGCTTTCCCCCATTTTAGCCCCCCCAGCCCCCATGTAAGCACCATCATACGCTAGAAAAACTCCAGGCCAGGGTTGGGATTGAAGGAAAACCAGATGGATTCGGATCAAAGCTAAACCTTCCCTGTTTGCAGCCTGGTTTACTTTCATTGCAAACGGCAGATACCCAAGTCAGACGTGTTTGCATTTCTAAGCACTTCCATTAAGGAGGATTCTCGGCCTCCCTGAACCCAAAGTCCACTGAAAACATTGCTCGGTACAGAAAAGACCTTCAGCTCAACGCAAATATTTATCCAGTCTCCTCTTCCACTTGCAAGCCCACGTCACCCAGGTGAATCGAGCCGGGCTGGGTCTAGAACTGGGGATTAAATCCGCCTGGGAACGTTCCCAGGCCAGCCGGTGAGATTCCGTGTGGGCTGCAAAGCGCCTTCCACCTCCACTTCCAGTTTATGGAAATCTATTCCTCTCACACGCCGCTTTTCTTCCCTTCGGTCTTTTCAAACAGAATCACTGCCCCGGATCCCAGCGCTCGGTATTAAATGACTCACCAGGAGGACCAGCCCAGTGTGGGGATTGGAAGCACAGCCCGGGCGGTGCAGAGCTGGGGACCCAAACCCCGCGGTGCTCCGGGGGGGGATGTCGGTCCTTCCCTCTCCCGGCTCTCGGAGGGAGCATCAGCCCCTGCACCTGGGGAAGTTTAAATTGGCCATGCATTAACCATTAACAGCAGTTAACACTCCCGGGTGAGGCATTTCCTGCTTTTCCAGCATTTGCATTGCAAGTGATTTTCCTCTCTCCCTCCCGGCCGTGAGGACCTGCGGGGGCTCAGCCCGGGCCCTCCCGGGAGCATCAGCATCGCGGATCCTTGGGAGTCTTTCGTCTGCAACGGGGGAAAATTGCCTCGATCCACTGCTGAAACCTCCCAAAACAACCCCCTCGTGCTGCCACAGGGGAGGGGATTCTCTGCCACCTGATTCTCTGGGCACTGAGCTATAACCACGAGCATGATGTGAAGATCATTGATCAAATCAACAATCTACAAAATCACGATTTGCAAGAAATTCTTGGCTGTGAGAGGGGTGAGGCCCTGGCCCAGGTTGCCCAGAGAAGCTGTGGCTGCCCCTGGATCCCTGGAAGTGTCCAAGGCCAGGTTGGAC